TCCTTCCTTCAGACTGTGCTATATTAACACAGCGTAGAATAGGGAAAGTCTACTTTGCAACCTCAGCTAGAAATATTTTAACACAACTAGAGCTTATTTTTATCACGCTTCAATTTCCATAGCTTTTTATTCGAGCCTTATCTTTTCTTTAAATAGAGGCTTTCATCTCAGAGGATCCCAAATGCTTCTTGCAGGAGTTTTTTGGCAGCTTTTCACTATTGTTTCTTAACAGAAATGGAAGGAAAACCTTGTTTACGGTGAGCCATTTGCATCACCAGCTGCGCAGCCACCATACCTAGTACTGCGATTGCTCAGATGACTTTGAAAATCTCTTGAGCCTCCTTTTGTGTCAAAAGGGTCACTGTGCATTTATTTTCTTTATAATTGATTACATCTGCCTTTCTTTCATCTCCAGAACCTTAAAGCATTGGTTTTAAACTTCCATTTTTAACTCTAGGCCTGATTCAAACATGCCTAGGGCTTTTGCATCTCCCTTTGGCTTCACTGAGAGTTTGGGGGCTTTAATATCTCTGGTAGACCATGGTAGTTTTATGTGGGAGGTTTCTTGTGTAGGTATGAGGTCAGACCCCTTACCTTGAGTCTTCCATAGTTGAAAATGTTCTACTTCACTTGAGGCTCGCAAGTACTGATGTTGTGTTGGACTGTGCATGAACTGCTGACTGAGCGTTTCAAAATAGTCTGCGAAAGCCGGAGCTGAGAAGGATCAGATGAAGTGGGAGCTGAAATGGGGCAATGCTGAGCTTTTTTAGATACTTCAAATAGTTAAGTTGCTTGAGCAGCAAGCCCGAGGTTTGGGATGGCCCAGGTTGAGGAGGGAGCTTGACAAATTCATAGTTTCTTCAAAATTCCCTTTCAGTTGGATGGTAGTAAGGACCAACACTGTGAGTTTAGATGTTCTCTCAGCCAAGATAGTGAATGTGGCAATGTGCTCCAAAGCATCTTTGGTGACAGGGCTGGGTGCCTGCCTCTGTGCCTGCAGGAGGAAATTACTTCAAGCAGCCTTTCCCCAGTCAATCATTTATCTGGTGCAGGGGATGAGAAAGCAGCCTTGGAGAAACAACTCAAACTCTTAAGCCTCCTTTCTCCCGCCCTTTTTGTCTCTGTTAGTGATCCCTGACATTTTGAAACCAGAAGTGATAAATAATTGCAAGGTGACTTGCAGGTTGGCTCTATTTACAAAAAGATTTTTATTTTCCTTTTGTGGTTAGCTAGCTGGTGGTACAAAACCAAACAATTTCAAGGCATTACCTATAGAAATATCCCTCTCTCCACATTTTCTCTCTAAAATTGCTCCATCGCTCCAGTAAGAAGGGAGTAATTGAAATATCGGGACTCAGTATGGTAAAACAGAAACAGTTTGCTTGTAGCTATTGGTCCAGAAGACCTCGGTCCACAGCAGTACAATCAGTGCACTGTTTCATAAGATGAGGTAAGAGGCCATGAAAATCTTCCTTGTTTCCTTGCACCACGAGGCATGAAATGTGATTAGTCTTGTCCTCGTATAATTGTGATTTACAGTCTTGAGCTGGCAGTGTGTTCCCAGAAGACCACCTGTATTCATGAGATACAGTGAGTGACAGTATGCTGAAAAGGGTTTTCCCAAACTCTCAGAAACTGCCTCAACAAGAGTACAGGATGGTTCAGGCAAAGCTCATCTGGCTTAAACAACTGAAATCCAGTGTCCTTATACACCAACTTCTGATTAAATTCCAGGTGCCCAACAAAACTGTCCTCCTAAAGTGTGTATGTACCCTATATAGGAAAATAAAGGTACTGCCATTGACTGTAGCATAGAATACAGGCATCTCACCAGTACAGCTTTTCTGAATATCTAAATTATATATGGAAGTTGAGTGATGGGGTTAAGCGGACTGAATCCTATGATACAGGTTTAGCTCCCCTCTGGTGTGGCAGTCTGGTCATGAAGTTAAGGGTCCTGTGGTTCACACATAATAAAATATATGTGTACACATAATAAGTATACAAATTCTGTGTGTGAGTGTCCACGTTTGGTAGCTGTAAAAATAACCCTTGAGTGCAAATATATGTAACAAGGTGGAAAGATGGTTAAATTAGCTAGAATTTATTTGGGATGCTGAGGGCTACAACTGAAGGTCTAGGTTTTCAAATAATTTAGAAATAAGGTTGTCTGCTGATTTTTCACCATGGTTATTGAGTCAAATAGAGTATTTACTGTGCAAATGGCCACTGCCTATCGGTAGGAAATGACTGGACGTAACAATGGGATCTAACCTTGTAGCCTCTGGCTGGCAAAGCTTAATTAAAATGCAGTCCCCTCTTCTCTGTGGAATGCTGTTTCCAAATGCTCATATTCAAGCTGCATAACCTCATTTATCAGGCATTCCCCTTGCCTGGAGAACAACTTTCTGTCAAATGGGTAGTTCGCTAAATGACACTTTACAGAGATCTGCTATGAAGGTCTTTGCCTCCACAACAGAGACAGTGGGATCCATGCAAACGGCTTTGGGCTGGGGAATGAGAAGGGAGGTTTTCCAGTAGTTTTGGGCACTGAAAGGCCCCAGCAACTGAGCCTTTGTGGTTAAAAAGAGAAAAAGCTTAAGGGAGGGGAGAGAGAGTCTGCTTTATCTTGAGTGGAGTGCAGCTTTATTTCTCTGCTGATACACATTCCTTTTGAGACCTGCTAATTGCAACATCTCTCAGTAAGTTACTTACAGCAGGACTGCTGGGTAGAAATTGTGATAAATGCATAAACTGTGTCTTATTGATTTTTGTTGACATTTTACATGCTTCTTATGCATTCAAAACCTCCGTTCAGTAATTGTCACTATGGTACACACTCCTGGATAATGAGAGCGAAAGAAGTGAATGAAGCAGTTTTTTGACCATTATAAAACAGTATTATTCAGGGCTCTGTATGGGGTTTCTTGCCTGCCCTCCAGTATATCTCTGTTTGTGCTCATCCCCCATTGAATTTGCAAGACGAGCAATGAAAACCCTTGGTGTTATTTCCTCTGTTAATGATAATAACAGAAATGTTACAGAGAGGGATTACTTTGAGACTGATGGTAAATTTGGGCCTCTTTAATTTTAGTGCACAGCAGCAATATGGAATCTAGCAGAGGTACTGTAGTTTATTTACCCTTATACTGCACATTTTGTCAAGATTGCTGTACAGAAAGCTGTTTTGTTACATCATTTGCTTTGACAGAAATTTGTTGCTGAATAAGAATAACATAGCAGCATGTCGTGTGGCTAAACACCAGTAAGTCTTCACCAGCTGTTACATTACCTAAGAAATACACAGAGTTACAACAATGCTGTGGAGTTTGTGTAAAAGAATTCTGACTTCTGATTTTATGATGCTCACCTATCAGAGGTACATAAGCAGCTTAGGTTCTTTTGTATCAAGGGCCTCTACATTAAAGAGAAAAAAAAATACTATACTGCATGATGCAAAAATGCATTGACTTTATTTTCATGACTAGATGTAGTGCTTTTGGGTAATGATCAGGCATTGCTTTCTCTTACTGTTGTTTGATTAAGATGTGATTACAGTCTTGACTTGATAATCTCACCAGATACACATGGAGCAAAAAAAAGAAAAGGTATTTTATGCCTCAAATTGATTTGCATAAACCAAACAATCTGTTGCTTGTTGGATTGCAAAATGGTTTATTTTGCCCATTGGCCACAGGGGCAACAATATTGTATTTTTGATGCCAGAATGTAGCTTTCATGCATTAGCTCTAAAATGACAATATGCTTTAGCCTCTCAGTGCTTAGATTTGCTTCATTTGGAAATCTTTTAAGTAGTAATAATAATAATGTTTTGAGGAAATTGAGTGGAACACTAAATTATTCTCTGAAACCTAAGTTCAAACTGTGCAAGGCTAAGGGAGCTGAAAATCAATGCACTTTTAAAGTCATTAGAGATCACAAGTGAAATAAGTCTGTGTTGCTTTAGCTAAGCTTTTAGTGTGCCATGGTATTATTACAAAATCAGCCTGAATCTGCATTAATTTCACAGTCTTTTTCTTTAAGATGCCCAGGGGTGCATGAAGAATAAAATGTAAATCTCAGAAGGCAATGTTTTTATTAGTCGAAAGGGCAGTGAGTCATGCACTGAAAAAGCTGACCTGTACTATGCCCAGTGCAGGTATGACTGACAATAGTAAAAGGCTGGAAAAATAGCCTACGCTTTAGCCTACTGGCTTTTCATTATGATTTAAAAGGCTGAGGAGGAAAAAAAAAAGCTAATTTTCAGTTTATTTATGCACGTAGCTTCAGAATTGTTCAAGCTGGGGCTGGCTTTCATAGATCAAAGAATTAAACTTGTACCTAGAACTCGGAAAAGCAAAAATCATAAAGATTTTTATTTTCAATCTGTTATTTTCTTAAATGTTGAGATTCCACCTACATTACTGAATTTTGTCTGAGTCTTTTCATACTTAGTTGCAGGCTGGACAGTGGAGTTTTTCTCATCTATTTTGTATGGTTGTTCTTGGTGCATCACGGAAATATGTGGCATTATGGACTCCTTTATTAAATTCCCAGTTCAGCTGTCAGTGATGCCAGTCATTTATTCACTATCCACTATTTACCTGCACAAAAGCCATAGCACGCAATTGTTAATGCGTGGTCTGAATAGACTAAACTATGCAATCCAAAGGCTACATAAAAGCCTTCCTTATTTCAAACCCTGTGGCTAAAGAATAAAAACAAGAAAATAAAATGAAAGAAAAAAGGGGAACAAAATAAGGAAAAAAACCTTTCCTCTCACCCATCCACACCTAGGTTTTTTTTTCTTTCATCTATGGTCAGATTAGCAAGTCAGCACTGTCGATAAATAAACTAGAGAAGTTGTTTATTTTTATGTACTACTGAGAACAGTGTCGTCTTGTGGCCGTTCTCGTAGACTGTGTTGGTTTAACAAGCGTCCAACCCTTTTGTCTTGTTGTTTTTTGTCTTTCCTGCTCCCTGTCCCCTTGTTCCCACAGGCTGTGCGTTTGTCACATTTTCTACAAGGGCAATGGCACAGAATGCAATCAAAGCCATGCACCAGTCTCAGACCATGGAGGTACAGTACTGTATCATTTGCCCTTTCTTTGTTTTCTTTGTGCAAATGATTGCGAATGGTAAAGCCATGCTCTCCTGGATCAGATCAGACACATGACAATCACAGATTTAAACTTTTTACCAACTCACTCTACCTGTCTTTGGAAAGCTTATTTTTTCGTAATGACCTGAAAGCGCACAATAACGTTGCTATGTGGTATCCAAACACAGCTCTTGATTCTGTTTTCAGTGGCATTCAGCAGAGAATAAAAATGCTGTGAATACCGCTCCTCAGCCATACTCAGAGAATATCTGATAAGTAAATTAACTTTAATTTTAACACACACACATGGCCCTGAAGAAAAATCTTAAGTTCCTTTCATATAGATTTTTAAGTGTTGTGGTTTGCACTGCTCTGACAAAAAGCTCAAGAGGTTTAACCTGGCCACGCTGAGTTACTAGTGCATGCGTTTTTCTGCAAATAGAATCTCTTTTTAAGTTAATATAATTTCTCCTCCTTCATGTAGCCAATAAAAATGCTAATGATGACAGAGCATATCAAAGTGTGGCACTTCCTGCAGAGCACCGTTGTGGCCGGCTCCTCACAAGCAACACTCTTTATTTCCTTCCAAACTGCCTCTACGGCCTCATACTTTATCACGACGAGCAACAGGAAACTTTAAACCTGTTCAGTTAATGTGACTCTAGCTGCAGGCGAACAGGACGTTCATTGGAGTGGTTATCGAATGCCACGGCTTGTCTGGCAATCTCAAAACTTTTTTCAGTCTGTGATTTTTGTCATGGTCTCTCAGAATTTTGCACAAAAAACCCGCACAAGTATGAAGTCTTTACTTACTCTGGATCTTGTAGCTTATCATTGGAGAGTGCATGTTATACTGTATTATGTATACTGTATCTTCGTGTAGTGATGATTTTTCTCAGAGGTGGCATTGATGTTATGTGCACTTGTTTCTTTTTTTTTTTTTTCTTTGATTTTCCACCAGGACCTTTCCATTTTATTTTATCTTTTATTTTTTCTCAGTAATTTTTCTTTGCAATGCTCTAGTCTCCCAAAGCATGCTGGGTGCTAAACAATCATTATTGCGTCATGTCGTTGAGCTGCTTTGTGTAATGAGCCAAGGGGGGACACCAAGGGTGGGAGGGTGGATAGAGGAGAACAAGAAGAAGCTAAAAATCCAGCCAGTGCATGAAAATGTCACTAACTGTTTCCTGTATACTACAAGTAATGATATCGGCATTGCAAAGCTATTGTCTTTCCAAACATCACGTTTGAATTTGGTTGAGCTTCTTTTATAATTGATGTGTTTTCTTTTCAGTGCAATGCATTTTTAGACGCTGAGTATACAGTTTTAGATGAGAATGTGCCAATGAGATGAGAATAATTGAAATGATCTTTACTAGAAAGCTGCTGTTACACAGTCTATGCAGTCTGACAGTATATTGTGAAAAAACTGCCACTTTGAGTCTCTGAAATAATACTCATAGTAATTTGTCTGCCATGCACTGCTCCATTAATTCAGACCTATATGTTTTGCTGGGTTTGATTCCAGGTAAAAAGGAAATGTTTATTGATAGTACTGTGTTTTGCCTATATTTTCCATGTGTTTTAATGTATTTTTCTGCCTAGCAAAATGAATTTTGCACAGCTCTACTTCAGAAGATGGTAAAATTAAAGACATATTACCTCCCAGACAAATTCTCTCATTCTTCTGTCGTATGCAGTACTCCAAAAGAGGCTACATTTTGATGTTATACTCCTGTTGACATTAGTTCTATAAAATAGCTACTCTTAGATCAAAATACTTCTCAACACCTTTAGAGACATCAGCAATGATATCTCCAAATTGGCCAGGTGATTCCAAATGGTTTGCAGTGTAAACATTTGGGTCTTTGTGTCAGTTGAGCATGGGCTTAGAGTCCCTTCGTGGAGACAAGCAGTTCACCCTCCAGCTCCATGGGTGAGGGACTCAACAGGGTCTGTACCTCCTGTCTTGACAACACAGAGGAAAATATGAAGGCAGCACCAACTATTGGAAGGAAAACGGCTCTGAATGGCACGGAGATACCACGCCATTCAATGAGGAAGGGAGATGCACCTTGTATATGGGCTGGGAGCTTCCTCTCAAGATAGAAAATAGAACAGCATAAAATCGAAGTCACCCTTTAAGGGGAAAAAAAAAGAAATTGCTCACTTTTGGCAATACTGTCCTGGTAAAAAGTTAATTTGGGTTATCTAGTGTTAAATCTCAACTCTCAACCTGAACCAGTGGTCCTTGACACTTTTGTTTCATGGGTTTTTTGCAAACAAAAGTGGGCTGGGGACAACATGTAGTACACAATCACATTTCAACCCAATTACTGCAGAGGTTTTTTTGTCTGATTTCATTATTTTCAGTTCTTTGGCACACATCATTGACCAAGATGAATTTTCAAAGAAAGAACAATGGGGATGTTAAATACAGATGAACATGTCTCACAGAATAATGAATTCTCTTATTACTCTTTCCACCTGACTTTCTGACCTGGTTAAATCAACTGATTTTAAGAACATAATTGCTGCTCTACAGTTTTTGCTCTTCTGTCTCATTTCTGTGGAGGCTTTTTTGTTTGTCTGAGGCATTCAAATGCAGCACCAGTAGATGACACTAATTTGTTATCACGGAGTAAATTTGGTGCAACAATAACAATCCTTTTCTTATAGAGAGCCACTTGCTACATATAATTTCAGTCTTCAGAATGTTTGCTTTCTTGAAAATGATGAAGTGATGAAATATAGAACAGGCAGCGAAAAAATGAATTATAGATTCATAAATTGCAGAGATATTGTTTTTATACAATTTACTGACATTTAAGCATTCATAAATAAGATGTCAGCTGTAGTGTTGAGTGCTGAGCTGCTGAATCAAGAACTAGAATAGCCATATAATCTTTCTTCCTTTGAAATTAATTTCTCTTTCTTTGGAAGTACACTTGGTTCTCCTGTACACCCAGGTAGAAGTCAGGAAGTTCTGGCTGGTATTAGCTCAGTGCTACCAAACCTCATCTTGAATAGGAACAGCTTGAATTTTTTACTGGCAAAACCAGAACTTCTTTCACACCCTTTACCACCTCCATCCTTTTTCTTCCTTTTTTAAAAGGGTCTCTTGGTTTTAATATTAGTATAAAAATCACTGGAGAGTGGTAATTGTGTAACAAGCCACCTCCTTCATAATCTTTATGTGATTGCTAGAGTGGCACGTATCTCTTCCTCACTGAAACATGGAAAGACATTTTTACAATGAATTGCATGGGAAGGGAGTTGGAGGTGGAATAATGAATCACAAGTAGTGATTTTTCTAAGATAAGTCTAAAGGAACAGCATTGATGGGAGATCTTTATACGAGAGATATTATTATGTGGTTTATTTCATCATTTCATCTGTTGATGGTGAATATTCTTATCATTTGTCCTGGTGTGAAGTTCCTCAGAGAAAAGGTACACAGCTGCTTTTACTAAGAAATAGAGGGCAGGACCTTTCCTGAAGATGTTCACAGTGTTGTGAGAGCAGCCATGGGAAGAGATTAAGTATAACCCTGCTCCACATCCCATGCTACACACTTTGGCTAAACCACTGCTGTGTTTTTTGGGCTTGAGTCACCTTTCACTCCTGCCATTGTGTTCAGATTGAAGTTAGACAAGACATTAGTATAACAAAGCATTGTGGGTGGAGGGAAGTTATTCATTCGATCCTATGAAGTTGGAAAAGAGTATGAAATGGATTGACAGTTTCTGTGACTCACAAAATGCTTGAATTAATTTGAAGAACCGAATCATTGCAGTATATAGTTTGCTCCCTTGATGTGAAAAAAATGAACACTTGAAAGGTTAAAATATGGAAAAAAATTTAAAAGGAAAAAAAAGTAGAATGAAAGCAAGAGACGTCTTTTATATTCATGTCTCGTTCTCTCAGTGACTTTGCCCAGGAATACCCAATTTGAAGTCCAAGGGAAATATCCAGCTTACCTCAAAAGCCCGTCTGGTCCATGACCTCCTGCTTCTTCTCAAGGGTCCCTCAGACATGGGTGAGGAGTAGGCTGCAGACCAGATCTCTGGTTCTTTCTTACAGCTTCCCTGTTTCCTAAGATGTCTTACAGCCCTCCCATATCATGTAACAAGAGGCTCATAGGAGTGATAGAAGAAATGGTGTCAATCAGGAATGGGCTGCTATCACCAGAACTAGTCATTTTTGGTCTGCATCCTGCCCTTTGTTCACATCTCAAGGGTGCTTGATGCAAAGCGTGCCTGGGAGCAGACCGCAGGTGGGTGAATTGTCCTAGCAGCATACCCTTTGTGCTCACTTCGGACTGGGGGTCCTTGATAAGAAAAGGACCAACAACCTGCTGATGATGGGCGCTGGAGTAGATCTGTTGCTCACTGTCTGTTTACATGAGGTACACAAGCCAGCTGCACCGAGCGTGGCCGCACAGCCAGACCATGGTGGCAGGACGGTGCTGGCTGTGTGGTCCCTGGCAGCAGGGAGGTTGGATGCCTCTCCCTTTGGCGATGCCTTGAAAACAGACTGCAGATAAAGCATCACGTCCATCTCATCAGCTGTGAAGCTTAATTAAAGAGGACTGGTACACTTCGCTGTCTCTGGCAGCAATTTTGATAGCTGGAAGGGAAAGAGAGCCTGAGGAAAGGTGCTTTGTAAAAAGAACTGTGGAATCAATAATTTCTCCATAGCTTTTTTTTCTAAGAAGCTGAAAATCTTAGTCCTTGAGGTATGCGAATCACAAAGAGAGGGTGAGCGATCAGGTCATGCCATTGCCAGTGGCCCTATGGGACATGGCTGAGCACACGATGTGAGGGTGACTTGGTGTGATTTAACGCGTCTGTCTTTCCCCATCTGTTTAACCACAGGGCTGCTCTTCGCCAATCGTGGTGAAGTTTGCTGATACCCAAAAGGACAAGGAGCAGCGACGTTTGCAGCAGCAGTTGGCACAGCAGATGCAACAGCTCAATACTGCCACTTGGGGAAACCTCACAGGTCTTGGAGGACTCACACCACAGTATCTAGCTGTAAGTTCATTTCAGACGCGGTGGCTGTATTATACCGTATTTATTTTAGAACCACAGTAAATCAGCTGTAAACTATATATAAACTCCCTGCAATAAATTGCTAAGTCCTCCGGGATATGTAGTATGCTTATCATATGGTCTAAAAATAAATACCAAGGAATAGAAAGTGAATAAACCTTTCAAGGTGTGTCAGTGCTGTCCAAGACAAGCATTTAAAGTTGACTCGTGGTGCAAAATGAAGTTTTATTCCATTAGTTTTATTGTTCTTTTGAAGGTTAGAGTCTGGTTTTTATAGCTGGAATAAAATTTAAGTTCTTCCTTAGGGGAGGACACATAGGCAGCTGAACACTGTAAAGGCCGTATCTATATGGTGCAGCCTTGAAACTAGAATATTGTGGCTGAATCCCCTAATTTTCCACATTTTCGTTTGGAAAGGGTCCTGTCAATGCTGAACATGCATGGCTCACACTACCCATACAGAAAGTGAAGATGGCAGGGGAAAGACAGTTGTTTTCTCATAGGTTTAAAATGGCATTTCCTTTGGTCCATTTGTTAGATGAGAAAGAGGTGCTAGATGCTGCCCCTGTTGGAGAAATCTGAAATACACAGCACATTTCTTAGCCTGAATGGCCAAAAGAGATTCCCTGCACTTGAGAGGGGGCTTCTGCCTTTTATGACTCTGCTTTGGATAATTTGGAAGTTCCTGATGGTTCCAAGTTAGACAAATAGATATGTCCAGATATATATGTACTGTGTATGTGTAAATACATAATTTGTATGCATACAGTGCTTTGGTATAGTGATATAAACAGCAATTTAGCCAGCAATTAAAAATATGTGTTAGTTCTGAAGTAGGCTAATTAATACTCAGGTAGGCTAAATTGTTATATACAAATACCAGTCTGATGAATATCTGTGTGCTTGATTCATAAAGTTAATAAAGAAAAAACAGAATTCAAGAGGGTGGGGGAGAATGGACCGTGATTGACAGAGATGAGTTATGGTAACTACTAGACTACAGAGGGTTGTAATTAGTCACACTATGTTGGTTTAAATAGATTTAACACCTGGTTGTTAAAAAGAATAAATTGATTAATTGTTTTAAAGCAGCCATGTTATTGAGTTTCCCTTGTGTCTCTGTGTTTCTTAATAGAGATTAGACATTAATATGGATTTACAGCATTGACTCTAGGGATGTTCTTTCCAACAATAGACAGAAGCAAGAGACTATATAAATGTAAAGGAAAGAATAAATACTCCAAATGTGAAATGATGGCTCATTTTAGTTTTATCTTCATTTGTTACATTAATGTCAGATAGATTGCTGTGTTGTGTTGTTAATTTGCAGCTTCTGCAGCAGGCAACTTCCTCCAGTAACTTGGGTGCCTTCAGCGGCATTCAGCAAATGGCCGGTGAGTTAAAAACCATTTCATTTTGTTCCAGCTATGTTTTGTATTCTTAAGCTATTGAATTCTGTACCTCTAATAATCACATTGTCGGGGGTGGAGGGGTGTGTTGTGTATTAAATGTGGCAGATGTATTGGCAGGGGACAGCTCGCAGTTCAACGTCAATAGAAACACTTTCTCCCCTCTTTCAGAAACTGAAATTAAACCCAGTGCTCCCAGGTTGTGCAAACAGTTTGTCTTGCATTAGTCACCTGCCATTTGTCCAAAGTAACCAATTGTAAATTGCAGGAGAGCTTTTAGTCCCTGCTGCCATATCCTACCCTATGAAAAGTGCCAGTAAAGCAGCAGCAGGATTACATTCTGATTTCCAGTGAGATTTCTGTGTCCTGAAAAATCAAATTAATGGCAGCCTTCAAACATTTTAATAATAGGTGGTGAGTAAAAATGTTCTGACCTTTTTAATGAAACCCAAGATTACAGGCCTACCTTCAGTAGGAATTTTCAAGCTCCTTTTATAATCATGGAAAATTAACTGGGTGCCTTTTTGACTTTGGAACCCTCGTTGACAAAATTACACAACAGAAGATTTTATGTAAAAGTATAATCTTTAGTCTGGAGGATAAAGAAAGAAGGGGGGGGGGGGAATCAAAGTGTGAGCAAATTTGAAAGCCAGCTAGTTGGAGGGTTTCTTAGTAATGAGCTGTGTGCCAGTAGTAACTGATGCGTAGTGATTAGCAAAAGGTCACTCCCACTGTGTGACCTACCATGCTGATACCCTAACTTAACATGATGCTAGAGAAGGCAGCATGTGCAGTAAATCAGAGCACAGATGCACATTATGCCTGCCGTGAGAAACTGTTAAAAAGCTTTTTTCTTGTTAGAGAGGGGGAAAAAAAAGGAAGCACAAAACCCCTAAATTGCTACATTAGTTTATTTTAATCATGAACCCACTGAATCAATGAAATACAACATTGTGCTTGCTTCATCATCACAAAACAAGAGCTAAGTCTTTATGAACATCATTTTCCTTGTTTTCTTTTAATCCTGGTCTTTTTCTTCTTCTGGTTCTGCTTTGAATGAATCCTGAAATACTTTAACAAGTATAGATACACCACACTGTATAGCTATACCCCACAGGTATTCTTTGCTCAATCGTTATATTATGCCATTATTGCAGTGACATCAGAGGCTAATGTGAACCTGCTGTCTGACAATATAAATTGGCCTACAGATGACAATATCTCTGAATTATTCTCTCTTCCTCAGACCTGCTGGCAGTGCTTGCTGGTTCTATTATGTTACACTTGCAATCTAGCTTTTTTTTTTTTCATGGAAAAAAAAAATGTATCTTAATATGATAAACAGAACAGAGGGTTCAGTAACAGTTTTATCCTCGGCAGTTTTGGAAGTGGATTTTAGCTCGGAGGTTGTGCTTTAATGTTTTCATATATTGTTAGGTCTACAAAATGAAAAAAAGAGACACTGAGGAAAAATAATGTGAGATCCATTGCATTGTGTGCATCTTAGAAGTTATGCGTTGCCACTGTCACTGTAGATTCTCACTGTCAATGTAGATTCAGCTTTGTTTCTCGCTGTCAGTGTAGATTCAGCTTCGTCTTCAACTGTGTTGAATCTAAGAATTTCAGTCAATATCAGGATGGGCTCTCAATCCAGGATGTGATTTATTCCGTGAAAATCACATGGTCTTGAGTCTAGTAGAAAGTCATTTTAAGAAGTCGTAGTGGCATATCATTGTTACTTGAGCAATATACACCGTGACTACAGTTTAGACTGCTAATGCACTGGTCAATGGGATAATTTAATGACTGATTGCCTCTCATGGAAAACACGTACTTTTTGTCTTATATTCATCTTACCAAAACAGCTTGAAGTTTACTCCTTTCCCCAAAACAGGTAACTCTTAAACCTTTATGTTCAAGATCAAATTAGTGATTCCCTATGTGAATTAGCTGCTCTACATGAAAGCACCAAACTAAGCACTATTTCATTGTTAGGATTAAGAGTTCATGTCCTTCCCTCAGAAATCAGGCAGTACTGTGTAATGCAGTGCATCTAGTGTTAGAGGTTTTTATATTATGTTTTGTGAAAGGAATAAAAAATAGTCCTGTGTCTGCAGCAAAGCCTTGCATGGCCTGTTGAAGCCATCCTTGAACGTTTTTAAAGGCCTGGAGTTTTTTAATTTAAGCTGCATACATTAATTTCACAGGAATGAATCTAATATGTATTTCTGTACTGCATATATCTCGCCTATCAATATAATATTTCAAGGTAAGGAATAAAATCTAGACACGATTGAGTAAGGTGCTAAAGAAGATCTGTCATGGCAGCTTGAAAGTCCTTTGAACTTTGTGTTTGAGGGGCCCAACTTTTGTCTTTGAAGTCAATGGGTGTGCTTACCGTATAATTCAGACACTAAAAGATTGATCAAAAGCCACATGAGCCATTGAAATTTCACCGTTACTTACAGGGCTCTAGCACCTCTTTTGTGTTCGAGTCTCAGTGAAGTCACAGTGTGCTAAATTAGGACTTCTAATACAGCCACCTTGCCCAAAATTAGTGGTCTTTGGATCTGCAAATATTTATTTCTGCTGCTAAAGCTCATGTTGTCTCTGTACTGAACAGAAAGGACACAGCACACACCCTGCTGCACATGTAAAGAAATATTTGCCATGAAGTCCTTTGTGATATTATTTCTTAAATCAAAGCAATTTTCTTTGCCAGCAGACCAAAGACACTGGTCTTCACTGTGAAGTTTTAAATTCCCTTTCCGTAATACGCCTGAGTCTGGTTAAAGTACGTTTTATGTGACAAAAGCAGGGGTTCTTTGGTTTTGTTGAAAGGAGTGAGATTTTCAGGCGTTTCTAGTTGAAGAGAACTGGAGGGGTTTTGTTTCTTTGTTTGTCAGACTGGGAGCTGGGGATTGAATCCAAAGCAAAATGACGATTTTTTTCAAGAACTCACTAACATACAGACATTAAACAGAGAGCACCAGCTCTAAAAGTGAATGCTATTCTTGCTGTAGCAGCCCGCTGACCCTACTATATATTCAGCACTGCGTTTGCCCTATGCTCACAAACCATGTGTGAAGTCCAAGCAAGTTATAAAGCACATTTAACTAAAATTTGTGAGATATTTAAATTGGAGAAACAAAAAGTTGCAGCTTTCCTTGTAATTTGCCAAGCTTTAAGGTTTCACACTTGATTTCCCAGTTTCGTTTTTTCTCATTTTTAGTGAAAAATGAGAATTTCATGAAATTGTTCTATTTCAGGAGCCAAGCTAGTATGTCAAGACTGGTAATAAGGCTGGGAGAGTTGACAGTGCTGCCTTTGGTATTAAAGTAATCCTCTGGTCTTGATTACAGTAATGACCCCTACCTTGCCCAACTCTGCTTCACTGCACTTTTAAAACATGCAAGCACATACCATCATCACGTGTATAGGGTGAGCACTTCCTCACTTTTCCTCCCCTCCTCTTATATGTGCTAATGCTAATTTGAAGGTACTTTTTTTCTCTCGCAGCCTCAGTGTCTAGCTGTGCTTTGTCCTTGGGGAAGGCTAATAATGTAGATGAATTACATTATGTGATTTGATTGTCTTACTTTAAAAAGGCAATACAAGCTACATTAAGCACTAGCAACCTTTCAAGCAAAAATGATTCCTCCTTCAAATACATACAAATTTGCGGGAAAGCTTAGTTCAAAGAAGATTGATGTCACTTGAGCATTTGCATTGAATTTGCCTGGCACTAGATCAAGTCCTAAAAGCTGTAGTTATTTAAGCCAACCTACCTGTTTAAGATGAACCTGGAAAGTACTGTTATAGAGAGTATAAACAGAGAGGGCTATGTCACATTGGGTGACTGTAGAAAATTCAAGTGTTCAAAAATACCCAATCTATGAAGATTTTCTGTTGTCGATTCTATAATATGCTTTGGCAGGAATAAACATTCACTTTACAGAAATATTTCAGGACATACAGACATGTACAATACTCATGAAAGACACAAAAGGACTCTGGATTTAATTGAACAGACAGATTTCTGAAGTCATGCAGGAGAAGAAACCATGATTTTGGCTTTTGTTGTTTTGGCTTTGAGATCTCTAAACCCTCTGCAGCTGGGACTTTTTATATTTTTCCAATGTATGGTGTGGTTTTTTTCCCAGTCCTTTCCAGACTCTTCACAGTTTGGTTGCATTTTGGGTTGAACTTCTGGCCCTTTCTGAACCCTGTTCAATCCATTTCCCCCTTCTTCTGTTACCCAAGCCAGATTTCCTCCTGTTGCAGAGTCTGTAGGAGCAGATGGGTGAGAGAAACTCTGTGAGGTTCTGCTTTCAGAATATTTTCCTCTAATTGTTGGATTGGCTCAGTGGATCTGGAGGGACCAGTTGGAAGCCAGGACCATCTGCACAGAAGCTCTATACTTTTGCATTGGCCCAAGGATCCTTTTTATCCTCTGACTCTTTGATGGCTTCATTCCAGCAAAGCCATGCTGAAGGAGGGTTTCTCCTGCTATGACCTCTTTAGGGATATCATGTTAAAACTAAAGGTCACTGAGAAACTGTTTCCAGCTCAAGGGAGATAGCTGCTTCTTGAAGATAACTACCAGTTTTGAAAATGTTGACTTCAGGGACCAAAACCATTGAGCTTTCAATTCTATTGAAATTCCTACTTAATTTAAAACATACAATTAGTTCGGGTGGGTTTTTTTGGCTAATAAGTTAAACAACTCCATTTAGCTTTTTTTTTTTTTTGGAGAGGCAGAATTTGAAGCAAGTGAGCCTGTTCTCAGTCCACACATTGCTCCTGCTCACGGCAGGAGAGGCACCTTGGGAGGAAAAGTGACACTCAGCAGTTCACGAGGCGTGTTTATTCAACTGGTAAAAGTGCATGATGTGGAAGTTTGGCCAAGTCTGGGCACATGATCTATAGCTCTGGCTGGGCTTTCTGTAAATGATGAAAGGAGGGCAAGGGGCTTTTTATTGCCT